CCTTAATAGTAAACCAGCTCATTCTTACAGATAGTAATCTTAAATCCTGCTAGTGTGGGTATGGGGATGTTAGAATCTTTATTCTGACATCCTAATTTTATGTGTTTTTTATGTTTTTTTTTTTTTAGATAAACAAGACATGGAGAACTAGAATGAGGAGCATCAGTGTGTGTGTGTGTGAATTTTTTTTTTTAATGTTTTCCATTTATATATTTTTAGCTATATTGCCCTCTCTTCCTCATATCAATGTTTCTAGTTTTCTATTTGCTTCAGTTGCCAGTTCATAGAATCACGTTTTCAGTGTGCCTCTCTGTGCTGATCCAGTAACAGGGATTTGGTGCCATCTTGGCACTCTTCTGCTTCTGTGGTTGGAGTGTGTGTGGTCAGTGTTGGCCAGCAGGGAAAGGGGTGTAGAGGAAAACCGTATTTGTGCCAGCAGCATGCTAAGGGTTAATCTTCTACTGGGTCACAGGGCAAGATGGGAGAGGATGTAATCCTGTTAGCTTGGAGCATGTCTGCTGTGCGTGTTTATGTGTGTGCACTGCACGCGTGTGTGTGCGTGGTTGTGTGTGAAAGTCTAACACATAATCTAGTTCAGAGAAAGATTATCAACAAGATATAATAGGGCACAGAAAAAAAAACAAAAAAAAACAGGATTTATGGACCACAGACAGCACAATATGTGGAAAATTATAATGGATATGTGTGTAATAACACACGCAATCAAACCAACAACCGAATCAAAAATGGCACTTATCTTCCAGTTGATGTGCTTGTTACGTTGATTGGATGGGGTGTTTTGTATTATGTCCTTTCAAAAGTGCCATTTTATAAAAAGTAACAATTGGACAGAATCATAGTCATTCTATAGCTCTGTTTCAAAAACCTTGCCTAGTGCCTACATAGACAGCATAGGCAGCAACATGTTCAGCAATACATTTCAATAAACTTGAATGCTAGCATTCTCTTAAATTGGCTTTATGCACAGCTGCACTACTTCCTGAACTTCAGCCAGCCCTTTGTTTCCTGTCTGTCATTATTGGACAAACTGATTAATTCAGGTGTGCCTGGCCTCAGTAACAATAATCAGGCACACCTGGATTAATCAGTTTGTCCAATAATGACAGACAGGAAACAAAGGGCTGGCTGAAGTTCAGGAAGTAGTGAAGCTGTGCATAAAGCCTATTAACAATGTGATATGCTGTAAGGTCCGGGTGAATCGGCCCGATGGAGGCATCCGATCAGCGGGGAAGGTCTCTGCGTGTTACTGTCTTTCCGTGTGGCAAAGTAATTTGATTAAATGCAATACATTTAATGAAAATAATGTCAAAGTCAGTTAGAATAATCAAATGTAACAATTTATTATGTCAGGTAAATGTATCATGCCAATTACATAATCAAATAAATTCAAAGATAATCAATACAAAACATCAAATGCTCTGGAATAAAGAGAAGAGATGCGCACCCGACATTAAGAAATACATGAAGCTGAGAGTCTCGGCCGCTCTCAGCCTCACGGGCTCATCTGAAGTACAGAAGGCCCCGATCCTTTTGCTGCATTTCATTATATATATAGACAGAACCTCTTTCACATGGAAACATGCTGACAATGGAAATTTGCATTCAGAGGTTACACCTTTTGAGAATAGCAGACCATTTGCCTACCTTCCTTTGTGTGTCAGTTATCTCTAAACTATTAAAAACCGTATTACCTTTTGTTTTACTCTTTGGGAATGAGACATTTGTACCAATCACCCTGAGACATTTCAAATGATACTAAACCTGTATAATACTCGATGCTAATCATTCACATTAAACCATTTAGATTCTTGGGTGAGTTTTTGGTGATCTTCGCATGGGGGAGAAGGAGTGGGGGATGAGGGAAAGAAATGTAGATTAGGATGCTACCAGTTTTTCCAATCTTACATATGCTAATAAGCATAAAAAAATGAGTTAAAAATAATTGTCATTTTAACATTGAATCTCAAAATTAATGTAGAAACAACATAAAGATGGTGTGTGTGTGTATATATATATATATATATATATATATATATATATATATATATATATATAAATTAATGGCATTTTCTTAAGTTCTATGAATGAAGGCCAGTATCACCAATACTGCTACTTATGTCTATACTAAATTTAATGTTTCCTTTTCAATTTCTGGGAATAGAATGAGAAAAAAATTAAGCCATTCAGCATTACAGTATAATTAAAAGCCATCATTTTAAACATTTAATACATTTAAAAACATATTTAAACTTTTAATTCCAGTGAACACAAGTATTTACACTTATTTTCACACTTACACCTGTATGTCTTGCATCCATCGGCCTCTCAAAGAGAAACACATGAAGGTGAGCGCGGCTGATCATAGGATAGGCCTACATGCGGACCATCCTCGGTCGACTGCTCTTTTTCCAACCAAAGTCCCTTTCAAGGAAAGTCTGTTCACTCAGTGGCCATATTTGTCAAAAGTGCGGTCAACGGATGTGCTGCTGCTGCTTCTCTCAGCCATACACTGAACAGGGTAGATGCAGAGAGAGAGGTGTGACGCAGGGGGAAAGCAAGAACCCACGCTCGTAGTATTAACACTGTCTAAGTTGATTGATACTGGCGACTTTTGAAAGTTACTTGAGGTTTGTCCAAAAAGTCGCTAGATTTGTTGCTAGGTGCTAAAAAGTTGGTAACACTGCTCAAAACACGGACTGGTTGAAAAACAGCTCTGAGTGACACAATGCCTTTACCAATCTGTGATTGGCTCCTTAATTTAGAAGGCAGGACTTATTCCTCCGTACTGTGTGTTGAACTTTCTCCCATTCATGAGTAATATGAGTGCACAGTCTTTGTAATATCTAAAGTCTTTGGCAGAACCCAGATAGCATGATCACACTTGCCAAAGGATGTGGGGAGACATTAGCATAGCTTGATGCGTTAAACAGAAAATATTTGTTGCAGAAATCAACACGCTCATAAAAATACACAAATATTGGGTAAATGTTTCTTTTTTTGTTGTAAGATTGACATTTTTCATTGATACTTCTTTTGTATTGAATGAATTTCATTTATTTTTTGTTTATATTGAAGATTTCTTTGTCCGCCATCTTGGATTTTTTTTTCTTTTTTTTTTTTAAATGAGCTTGTCGTTTTTAACTCAGCTGCGCATCTGTGAATTGACCTCTCTGTGAATAATACGTGCAATTCTCCCTAGCATTGACCAAAATAAGGTGTATTTTATGCTGCCTACATTTTGGAACAGTCTTCACATCAAGATCACACCTTAAAATGCCTCCTACGTAAGCAACCCACTAGGTTTTGGCCCAGAGCCTGCTATGAAGTCCGCTAGACTCTGTTTCTCACAATGTCTTGCTTAAGCATGTCAACTTAGACAGTGTTAATATTTGCAGGCTGACTCAAGCTGATGTGTTTATTGTGGAGAGCTGGGCGAATGAAAGCTGACAGTATTACTCCATGAAGAATACGCTGTCCATGCCGGTTGCACTAACATCATATGAATTTTGTAATGTTCATCTACTGGCCACGTACACAGTACAGTTGTCACTCCACGTCTGAGTGCTTAAGTAATGACATTGATTCTAGGGACGAAGTTTGGATGTGATGGTGTGTTATGTACTGTACGTGGCGACTGCAGAACAATCATTTCAAGTTCATTTAAGGGCATGACTTGTCTGCGACCTTTGAGATGGCCCTGATATTTACTTGATAATTAAATGATTATTTTTGTTTTGTTGTCTGGCTAAAAGACAAGACCAGTTTAAAGCAGATTTGTGTACACTAGAGAAATTGTTTTGAAGTGTAGTTTTCTTAAGCCTTTGTCAAAAGTTTTTCTTTTTCTTTTAACTTAACAAAATGTTATGTTTATGCAAAAAAATAAGAAAACTGCTTGCTAGTGTGGCATTTTATCAATTTAATAAAAGCAAATTGATCTTCTTTAAAATGACTGTTAAAGGATATTATTTAAACTTTAAAGTTTTAATATTTGATCTGTTTAAAATATGAAAGCTTGCATAGCCTGCTGTATGAATATAATCTGTCAAAACATTGTTTATTTGACTTTTAAGCCTATTATTTTCTAAAATATGAATCACATCCAATTTCATAGGCCTCCAGCAGTGCATAGTGGGTGATTTTTACATTGAGAAGATGAATAAACCCCAGTCGAGACATTGAGCTGCTATTTAGACTCCCCACGCTTGTGATGTGTGTGTTGCAAATGTGAGGAAATGAGCCCTCTGGCTTGTTTGTTTAATTTTACGTAACATTCATCCTTCAAGCTCACACAAGCATATTACATGTTTCAGTAATAAGCCCAAGATTAGCTTGAGCCTCACCCCCACTCCAACAAACACAATTTACAGTATCTTATCATGACAGGAGCAAAGTCACACACTCACACTCTTACACACACACACACACACACACACACACACACACACACACACACACACACACACACACACACACACACACACACACACATACATATATATATATATATTGGTATATTATTATATAATATAATATATATATATATATATATATATATATATATATATATATATATTGGTATATAATATAATAATATAATAATATATATATATATATATATATATATATATGTATGTATATTATTGGTTATGCCAATCCAATTATATATCAGTATATTATTACTATTTTTTTTCTGGATATATAGCGCATCTTTTTATTTTATTTTATTTTTTATTAGTTCAAATAATGTCCTAAATTTCTGTTATTGAATGAGCAGATTGTCTCACTGATTCTGTGAATTGTTTATCCCTCCCTTACCTCCCCAGCACTGCTGGTCACATTTATGACACCTGTGTGAAAATGTTCTCTCTTCTTAGAGGAGAGGACAGAGCTGCTCGCACCTCATTTTATAGTTCTGAGAACAAGCCATCAGCCACCTCAAATATCTAACCTGCTTTCCTCCCCCTCTTTGTCCTCTGCAGATCATCAGAAACTGGAGCGTGAGGCCCGAATCTGTCGTCTACTCAAACACCCCAATATTGGTGAGTTTGATCTGTATTATGACTATTTTTTAAAGTGCCCCATTATGCTTTCAGTAATTACCTTTCATGTAGTGTCTAATATGGCTGTTTAATCTCAATTAAAATCAATTCTCAAATTAATTAATTCTCAAATGAATGTGCCAAAACTGACGCCATTGGTACTGTTCGTATCACTTTATCAAGCTCTAAGGAAGCCTCTAGAGCTGAAATTCAGATATGGTAATGGTTGTTTCATTTCCGACAAGCGTTTTAAGCGGTTAGACCAATCACAGCAGACTTGGTCATCTGACCAATCAGAGCAGAGTAGGCTATTGGAAAGCTGGGGTTTAGAGAGACCGGATCCTTTATCGGTATTGAGAATTTGAAGTATGGGTCAAAAAAAAAAAAATCAAAACTATTTTATATTTGAGCTTCAAGTTCACAACCCCTCTGTCTAGATTCCAGCTCTGCTGATTCACTCAACAAACATCATAAGGGTGCATCATGGGGTGCTTCACGTGCACTATATGCTGCAAACTTTTTGCTGCTTTTCTAGTCCATCTCATCCTTTAAAAATAGTTTTGTAAAGAAATATTTATTCACAATGTATATACAGTATGTCTACATACCTAATATTGAAGCCTTTGCGTCTTTATATAAAAAGTTACAAAACACATACTACTGTTCAAAAGTTTTGGTTCAGTACATTTCTTTTTGAATGAAATTAATACTTTTATTGAGCAAGGACACATTAAAGTGATTAAAAATAACAGTTTAACACTTACATTAACACAGACATTAACATTTTTACATTGTTATTTAAGATTTTTATTTCAAATAAGTACTGTTCTTTTGAACTTGAAAAAATGCATCATGGTTGGTTTCCTCAAAAATATTAAGCAGCACAACTGTTCTAAACATTGATAATGATAAGAAATCTTTCTTGTGCACCAAATCAGCATATTAGGATGATTTCTGAAGGATCAGGTGACACTGAAGCTTTGCCACAATAGGAATAAATTACATTTGAAAATATATTAAAATAGAAAAGTTATTTTAAACTGTAACAATATTTCACAATATTGCAGTTTTGTACTGTACATTTAAAAATCTTGCCGAACCCAAACTTTTGAATGGGACTGTAAATTTACTCAAACTATTAAATGGTGGTGTATATGTGAGTTTGTCACAGTGGGCATCTGCAGGTGTGTGTGTGTGTGTGTGTGTGTGTGTGTGTGTGTGTTGGTGGCAGTGATGACTGGGACTGAATTAGGCTGAAGTATTTTTGCAGTAAAAATACTGTCTTGCGAGACAGCCTCTTCCAAACGTCATTGTCTAAAGGAACGTATGAACAATAGAACAAAATAAGGATTGTGAGGGGAAAATTTTAACTAATAAATGGCAAAGGAGAATGAAAATTAAGGCACAGAGGGACTAAGAGGGAGGAGTGGAGACAGAAATTGGGAGACTGATCGATAGAATGAGGAGAAAACAACTGAGCTATCGAGAGCAGAGCCATAGAGATGCGGGCGATGACGACGAAGAAAGAGGTGAAGGCAGAGGGATGGAGAGAGCAGCGGAGAGAGATGGAGAGGGATAGAAGAGGAGTGGAGCTCTATAAATAACTGTGCTGAGGTGGGAGATGCTGGTGGGCAGCAGTTCAGTCCAAATACCATCATTATTGCCAATGAGTTCAGGAGAACGGCAATAGAAGAGGCGAGAGAGCGGAAGAAAACCACGAAGAAGATGAAGAAAGACACACCTGGTTGAGGCACTATGACAGTGTTTGAGGTGTAAGGATTTACTGTGCTGTTTATACCACAAAAGATGCATTAGAGGTTTGTTCATTGTGATTAATCTTATTTTTTTTGTTTGTGTTCATCAGGTATCAAATAATAAGATACAAAAAAAATGAAATGGTCTCAATGGAATTATACTTGGATCATGGTTATTAACCTATAAACCATTTTTCTTTATTACATTTCCTTCAGAAATAACTACATTGTGATACATTCTGTTATATTACTTAGATAATTAATTGTACCGTGTTACATATTTATACCCCTGGGGCCGTATTACAGAAACGTCCAACACTAGAATCCCGTCTAATCTATTTGGTACCAATGAGAACTAGCCTTCGGGCTCATTTGGGTACATGTACATTCGTGAATGTTGATTAATGTACACTGTCACTAAATAACTAACTAACTTGGTGATTTCAGTAAGGAACTCAAGACTAACACAAGAAGTTTCTGTAACACAATCCCTGATGTATGTTTTGAGGTTATTGCTTTTGCCTGATTGTGTGAAAAATACTTCAGCCTAATTCAGTCCTAGTCATTACTGCCACACACACACACACACACACACACACACACACACACACACACACACACACACACACACACACACACACACACACACACACACACACACACACACACACACACACACACACACACACACACACACACACACACACACACACACACACAGCTACAGATGCTCACTGGGACAAACTCACTTGTACACCACAATTTAAAAGTTTGAATGCATTTGAGTAAATTTACAGCCCCATTCAAAAGTTTGGGGTCAGCAAGATTTGTTTTATGTTTTTGAAAGAAGTCTCTTACGCTCAGCAAGGCTTCACTTTAAGACCTACCCATGACGCGGATATAACACGCATTCTCACAACTCTTTACGTTCATTTAAGACTTTAAGTAATTTAAGACTGTGCTTACAAGGATACTCTACAAACTGGGTATTTTGGGCATGAGTCATGTATGTGCCACACAGACAGGAGCTACTGAGTTCTCTTTTGTGTCTTGTCGCGCTTGAATAATTTTAAAGCATTTGCATGAATAAGAGATTAATTTTGACAGCCCTAGTATGTATATATTTGTGTGTGTGTATATGGTTTATATATTATATGTGTATATAGTTTTATGGTTATATAACGTCATATTTCACTTCTGTATTTTACTAATATGTAGTTCTACTGTCTGGCATCTTGCACACCTTTTAAAGTAGTCCCACATTGACCTTGGATTCACACTCTGTCCAGTGTCTTTCTCCTCCATTCTCTGTTTCTCACTCGTCCATCTTTTTTTTCCACTCTAGCCATTTTTCCATCCAATGTGTTTTTGTATTCTCGTCTCTGTTCCCCGCCTCAGGCGATGCCATCTCCTTTTTCCTGCTCCATCACCTGTATCTGTTTCTCTCTCCTTTACTTTCCCTCCTGTTGTCCCTCCTCAAGTGGACAGCTTGTCATGTTTTCTGCTTGGGCTGCACATAAGTGCTGAACAATAGAGCCAATGAAGGAAGAGAGATGGAGAGAGAGAGAGAGAGAGACAGTCTGAAAGGTTAAAGAGAAGAGAGGACTGAGTGCTCATCGCTACTGGCACAGTTGGCACACACTAATGTGTATCTCTTTCTCTTTCCCTCACTCACTCAGCAAGTATTACATATATTTTTTTGTAGAATGTTCTCCAGCATCATTAAAGACAATATTTTAATATTAAATAATAATAATAATACAAATATATATATCATATAATCATTATTTTTTATTATTAAAATAGTCATTATTTTTGTGAGTTTTTGTCATTTCATTTGCAGAAATTTCACGTTTCTAATAATAATAATGATAATGATAATTATTATTATTATAGAAATGTACAAAAATAATGTGAATAAAGGTGAAGTATGTGCTGAAAAGTGAAGCCAAAGCGTCTTGATCGCCCCCCCGGTGGCTGGTCCCAGTATAGGTCATAAACCCCGCCACCCCATGAAGTCTACTGGACGAGATGGGAACTAAACAATCAAATTATTTCAAATACATTTTTTTCAAAGATGTCTTCTGGCATTTTAGGTAGTTGTTATCACACTGATTTAAGTTGAAGTGTTCGTTTTTTTTAAAATAAGTTTGGTCTTAGTTATTTGGTGCTATAAAAACGGGAATGTGGCATCATGATTGACAGCTGTGATTGACAGCTTCTCTAAACGAAGTAGTCGCCAAGGCACCAAAGGACTTTTTTGGGGATTTTCGGGAGGAGATTGGAGCTTCAAGTTTAATTTCTACATGTCCATAACTGTTTATTTCCCACAGTAAATTTTGTATTAACCGTTTCTGCGCGAGTGAGGGCGGGACCTTGATATCACGCTTTACTTCCTGCTCACTACTGCGCAGAATCAGGTCCCAAATATGCGCAAGATGTCAGCGCCATATTAGGACTTTGGCGGCTTCACTTTTCACCAATGGAGGAGAGTGAAGGGGCGTCATCCATCTTTTTTTTACAGTCTATGGTTTCCATCCAATCAAACTTCAGTGGCTCCCAGTCCTGCCATACATTGTTTCATGCTGAATATTGGTATGCCTATTTTACACAAGTTAAATGTGTGCAGATGTCAATTTACATGGTATTTAACCTCTGACTGAATGTTTAGGACTTTATTAAACTTGAGCATCTGTAATTATTGGCGTGATAGCAGCTCATGTTTGCAGTACCAGTGTCAACAGGCTAGGGCCTTGCTTGTCAAACGATCACACTGAGGACTATTGACTCACTGCATTACTCTAATAATGTAGAATTAATTTATCTAATATATGTATATTCCAACATCAGATTTGCCTCAATGTCTCTGTTATTTATCCTCCGTCTCTTTCTCTTCTTCTAGTTGCAATGTTGCTCTTTTTCTAAGCACTCTCATAATGCTCCTGCTATTCTGGGCAGTGTTTACTCAACTCTCTTTCTTTATTTCTCTCTCTCTCTCCCCATCCACCCCCCACCCCAATACACTCGGTGTGTGTCTACGTGACGCACTGCTTGTGTACATAAGTGAGCTTGTCATCCGTATACTCTCTTTTCGATGGATTCTTTTTGTGTTATTTAATTTCGCCATGTGGTCATTATGGTTATCTTAAGTCTATAAACGTGGCTCATAATTGTAAGTGTCACCATAATAGCGTGCAATTGGACGTTTGCTGTATGTTCTCATCAGATGTTTTTATGAACGCTGTGTGATGGAGCGAGGACTGCTCAAGATTTCCCTCTCATTAAAAACATTTGCTTTCATAATGCATTGTCTGACATTGTTCAATGCTGATTCTCTTGTTGTGTCTTTTCAACCCTAGTTCGGCTCCATGAAAGTATTTCAGAAGAAGGCTTCCATTACCTGGTCTTTGACCTGTGAGTATCACACACACACACACACACACACACACACACACACACACACACACACACACACACACGGTATATGTTGTATTGTAACTTGAGACATGATAATAAAAAAGGGCTCTTTTCCAAAAGGTTACCTCACTACCTATGTAGGTAACTGCCTTCTAAGACAGCATTCTGACTAAAATTAATCCTCATTTAATAAAAAAAAAAAGACCAAATACTGTATTAGTAAATAAATAATACAAAAAATAACATAGCTTCTGTCTTCAGGTAAGTTTGTAACTCTTAATGGTTGTAAGAGGCTTCCTGCTCTTTGAAGAAGGATGGACAAGTTATCAAACCCAAGACATTTTGTTCCAATGAATCATGTCTGAAACCCCATTGCTGCAGGCAGATAAAAGCAACTGAAATATGTTCGACAAGAACAACCTCGTATGCATCTTCCCGGGTGTCAAAAATATATCCTTCAATTTGATGGGATCTGCCAGCAGAATTGATGGGCAGACATTTCTGGGTGGCCATAAAAATACGATTTAGTACTGTCAAGATTGTTGTTCTGGTTTTAACCAGAGTCCAGTGCACTTTGATTTTACCAGGTGTCATTGTGGAACTCAATTTATCTGGAACAAATGCTGAGTTACTAATGCTCCTGTTACATGTGTCGTGCACTTCAACTGCACGCCACCCTCACAATTTACCATGGTAACCATTGTGAGTTGGCGATATAAGCTAAATTTGTTTCATAATATTCTCAATAAATATCGAATATTGTTCAAAAGTTTGGGGTCGGTATGATTTTTTAAAATGTTTTCAACATTTTGTTTTTATGCTCACTAAGGAAAAATACAGAGAAATATGCAATTGTAAAATATTATTACAGTTTTCTATTTTGATATATTTTCAAATCATTCTTAAGAAATCAATTTAATATGCTGATTTGCAGCTGAAGAAACATTTGTTAATATCAATGTTGAAAAACAGTGCTGCTTATTATTATTATTATTATTATTATTATTTTTTTTTGGATTCTTTTAATAGAACGTTTAAAACAATTATTATGTATAATCTCTCTCAATCTCTTTTTCTCTCTCTATAAGAAGGAAATATTGTATTATAATATTACTTTATGTATTTTTTAATTAGTTATATTGCAACGCAAAATATTTTTTTAAGTTATATAATGTCAATTAATTAAAAAATATTTATTACTATTGTTATTTTTATTTTAATTGTTGTAAGTGTTGTTATTATTCTAATTGTTGTTGTTTTTATTCATTTTTCTTAAAAAAAAATTTAAAGTGTTTTTTTCCCCCCTGATATTTCTTTTCCTCATTTTCTACCAAGTGTTGATTTTTGCATAACTGCAATTCAAACAGTTCTCAGATTTACCCGTTTTGGATAAAATACCATAGGTTACTACAGTAATTGTAACTACAATAAAACTCCTGAAACTTTGTAATAGCCACCACCATCTTGCACTGTCACTTGTATTTTGTCAAAGCCTAAGGTTACCATGGTAAAATTGCTAATTGCGGCCTTGCATCCAATAATATACCTATATGAAAAGTATAATTGGGCCATGCGAGTTTTACTGCAGCATCACATACATTTGCGATCATGTTTACGGAAGTATAAAATGTCGGTTCTGCCTCCTGCTGCTGACCAAATTAGCCCAAAACCCAGCACATTCTCCACTCTCTCATCCCTTGTTTCACTGGGGTTTTTTTCCTCTCTATTTCCGCAGTGTGACTGGGGGGGAGTTGTTTGAGGACATCGTCGCCAGAGAGTATTACAGTGAAGCTGACGCAAGGTGGGCTCTCCAATTTACTGTTGCTGTGGTTACTGTGCTGCAGCCTGCAGTGAGCAGGTCACACACACACACACACACACACACACACACACACACACACACACACACACACACACACACATTCACACACACATTCACACATTCACACACACACTCACATCTGATTCAAAAGCACAAAGTGGACGATCCCTTTTGTGCAGAAAAACTGAGAGCCTTTAATGATGGTGGAGTTGCAGAACTGGCAATCAACAGGTGCCGCACAAACGCATCCTTTTGCCCTCAGTTGGCCCCTCCTTTTGAGTGCATCATTTCTGCAACACTAACAAAAGCAGCACTGAACTGCAAAAACCAAGATTCGGTCTAAACAGGTTTCCCAGAGTGGCACAGAAATTACACGGTTTGAACAGTGTCTTCAGGAACCAGCAGCGAGTGTGTAAGTCTCTGAGGGACTCTTGATTCCAAGTTAAAGCCCCAGGCATCCAACGCAAACACCCTCCAGCAGTTAGCTGTGTTTTAATGCGCTCATACGGGACTTCATGGTAAATTCGGTTTACAAGAGTTGCATGATGCCAGTTTTACATCTAAGCTTTGATATTACATAGGAAAAGACAGAATAAAAAAATGTGTGTGTGTGAGTGAGAGAGATACAGAGAGACAGGTATTTTGTGTCTGGTGGGATTTGTGCTGTCCTAAAAATGGAATGCTGGGCTTAAAATAACCAAATTTGGCCAAATAGCTGTGTGCTATTTTAACATTAATATACTCAACAGTCTTTTTCAATCTGCTTTCTTATCTCGTGTAATCCACTTTTCTTATTCCCTTATTCCTTGTGGCAAGCCATAACCAAGCATGGTAAAGTGACAAGTGATCAAATCTATGTCTTCCATCTTTCTTGTAACTGGAAACTTGTCGCCTAGTTAGGACATGGTATAAGTCTGCACTTTTGAATATACTATAATTTAATATTATTATATTATTTAATATAATTTAATATTTAAAAATGGTGAATATCTATATTATATTAAAGCAATAAGCTGTGATTTACTGGTGAATTTACAGCTAAGGGGCATTGTTAGGCTCAATGCGAAGTGGAGCTTATTGCTTCACGGGTCTTATTGCTTTTATAAAATGGTTATTCCTCATACCTGGCATAAAATAAACACGTAGACACAAAAATGTAATTCTATTGATAAAAATATTATTCTTACGCCAAGCAATGTAGTTCTTGGTTGCCAGTAATTTGTATGACAGCGTAGTAGTAGACAGAAATTTACTACAGTTTTGAAAGTGGCTCAACCAATCATCATCATCAAGGACTGGAACTATCCGTTTTGTTTTATATATTATTATATCATCTGTTTTGCTAAATACTACAAGTGACCTATGAAGAGAAGTCGATTGTACACAGTCATGACCTAGCCATCATCTATTCCATTTCCTCAGAATAAACTCAATACGAATCTAAAGAAAGGCATGCATAATTTCACATTAATACTAAGTATTTATAGCAGCGTGACACCAAAGCAACACACACACACACTCACTCACACACACTCATTCTGGTTCATCTGTCCTGGTTAGAAGATTACATCTTTAAGAGGGATGAGATAATGTGTGTACCTGTCTGAGAGTGAGGTGCTTTTCCAAGAGTAACGCTCACCTCAGCTGTCCCACAATCCCCTGCTCATCTTATGTGCCTCAGTCACATTACACTTGACCCATGACTTGGCTCATTCTGCTAAAGTAGCAGTAGTACGTGCATATGTTGTGTCAATCATCCAGTCATGTTTAATTTAATTGCTTAATTGAATTGTCCAGCACTGGCTGTTGATTAACTTTACTGTAATCAATTTCAAGGGTTTATTTTAATGAACAGATTGATGTTATGGACTTCAATTAATTTGTCAAGTTCTCAAAACAACAAAAAAAAGTAAAAGAAGAAAAAACCTTGTGGAAAACTTCCTTTTAGAGGGAAAATGAATGGAAAGGAATGCAAATATAAGGAAGCTGACTTTATTAAGGGTTTGTAATAGAGTAAATAGAAGGTTAAAATCAATATTTAGCCTTATCTCACCCCCTCACTTATCCTTCTGATCTTTCTCTGCCACTGATTGATTTATTATTCTGTTTTTCAGCCAGTGCATCAATCAGATCCTGGAGAGTGTCAATCATATTCACCAGCATGACATCGTCCACAGAGACCTTAAGGTGAGCGAGAGCCAATCGCCACGACAACCCCACACATGGCAAACGGGCCGAGGGTTCTCTGAGGGTTTCTATGTTGATGCCCTGCCCCACACAAACACAGATATACACATGCAACAATATTCCTGCTCTTGTTTATCATTCCCCTCATTTTAATCAAAGATGACTTTAGCTAACTGAACTACTTATCTGTAGTTCTGGTGTTTTCTCTACAGTTCAAATGCTCAAATACATACTAAGACTTTTTGTACAGAGGATTATCTTTGTTTGAAATAATACTCTCTTTTTTAACAGCACTAGTTAAACAATTCATTATATTACCATATGAATCAAGTGCATGCATAAACATCGCACACGCGTTGTGTCTCCACTGCAGTGCGTGCGAATGTATGAAATGAGTGTGTGTGTATATGTTGTCTTGACAGTGCCAGTGTCTTTGATAATGCAAACAGACACGCACAGTTTTATCACATCCTCCTATTGTGCATTAGTCACATACACTGCCCTCCCCCATGTGTATGTGAGCCCAATGATGAGCAGCAGAGATGTGCCCAGGCTGGTTGCCATAGCGAAGAACGTGATACGACAACTGTTGCTGGTATTGCCGGAGAGACGGAGGGATGTGGGAGGGGTCACCTCGAGTCTCACCATCCCTCATTTGTAGTCTGCGCATTTAATGAGGGAGAGCGAGAGATTCACACCTATGGGCATAAATTTCCCTGCATCCTCATAACAGACGCATTTAAATTCTGTGCTTGAATGTAGAACTAGAGTGTGAACTCTGCGCATTGAGAAGATATATGTGCGGTAGCTAATAAATCAAGCCTATTGAGTTGTATATTCGAGAACTGGAGAGGAAATCGACTTTTCCAGCCTATATTTTAGTGTGAAAGGCTTCCATTCTGCCTAATTTATCTTTCTGGGCCTTTTCACTCAGTTGTGTACTTGAAGCTCCTGTATATTGATCCATGTTTGTGTTTATCAAATTTGGTGCACTGACAAAACCACAGGAAATCCACCCTAATATTTGCTCTGCGTAACTGTGGTACTGTAGTAAAGAAAACTCTATTCAGATGTGCTTAACCTGTAAGCTGTGTATAAACTCAATTACCTGTGGAGAGCTCTTTGACCCCCAAAATCTGTCCTACCCTACTGAGCTGGTTTGGCTGTTCATCTGCACATCTGCTGGGGATGCGCTTCTCTTTAATGACTGTTCACACTGACGGTGTTGAAGGTTGCAAAGTGGCTGTATTGTTGGTCTTGTATGTTTTCCTACTGCTGGATGTCCTAATGCCACTGTTAAATTTAATAATGAATTTTTTTTTATATCATTATTTTATTGATACCGATTATTCTTTTTAATTTTAAATATAACATAATTCTTGTATTCTCATAACTGTATTGTTTAAAAATATAGAAACTACCACTCTAAAGTTTGGGGTCAGAATGAATTATATATATATATATATATATTTTTTTTTTAAAGAAATACTTTGTAGTCAGCAAGGACATATTAAATTGATCAAAAGTGTATTAAACTTCAAAAGTGACAGTAAAGACATTAGTAATTATATTTCACTTTTTTTTTAATTTCAATTCAAAGAATTGATAATAAGAAATGTTTCTTGAGCAGCAAATAAGCATATTAGAAGGATTTCTGAAGGATCATGTGACACTGAAGACTACAGTGATAGAAAATAGTGATTTTAAATTATTATAATATTAGTGCTGTCAAATGGATTAATCGTGAATAATCGTATCTACAATAAAAGTTTTTAATTAATATATATAAGTGCTGTCAAATCAATTAATCGCAACTAACAAGTTTTTATTTACATAGTATATGTGCGTATATATATATATATATATATATATATATATATATATATATATTATATACATGTCTGTGTGTGTGTGCGTGTGTCTGTGTATACATATACACACATATATACTGTATATATGTATAAATATATGTGTGTGTATATACAGTATATAAATATAATAAGTGATATAAATATAATAAGTGATGCTGCAAATTGCTGTCAGTGTGAACATCTCAACACCAGTAAACTGTCCCAGCTTTGCGCCACACGCTGGCCACGGTCAATCCCAAATAATCTTTTTAACCTCTATTTGGAATCGATTTGAAAGGTTTGTGAGTGTTCCCAGCAAGCAATAGCTGTCATTTCACCGTCTAGGTTAACTATAGACCTGATATAGTCCGGCTATGAGTAACCCACTTTTAGCCAAAATAACCTTGAATTTGGTTACATGTCGTTTTGGCTAAAATAACTTGATGTATGATATTCCATCATGTAAGCAAAGTCAACAGTGATTTACAAGGTGTTTGGTTTCATTTCTTTGACATGTTCTATGTGTAGCCTGTGCTTCTATTCTTAGGCTATTGTTAGACGTCTATTCAATTTTCACTTTTGCCTTGTTTTAGCTTAGACTTCAGGTCTGTGTTTGGATGGCTATTAGACATCTTTCAACGCAAAATTCCTTGCTGGGTTTAGTGTGTTAAACGCATTATCTGCTTTCCTCCTCAGCCCGAGAACTTGCTGTTGGCCAGTAAGATGAAAGGAGCGGCAGTGAAACTGGCAGATTTTGGGCTGGCCATCGAGGTGCAGGGAGATCAGCAGGCCTGGTTTGGTAAATAACTCTGACTTCAGCTCTTATTCTGCACCTGACACAAACTTATATTTGTGAGGATGTCAAGAGATTTTGAATTACTACACTTATCCAAATCTTTTCCCTACAACTTTTGGGGATTTTTAGATTTAAAATATATTTTTACCCAAAAAACGTTTTGGGTGATTGATAGGCAACAGTAATAGTAATATTTCCCTTAGCATTCGCTAAGTAAAATAGGCCTATTGTTTTGCCCATTTATTAATGCGGGCATTTATACCTTCTTTTTTACTGCTAGTGTATTAAATTTTACAGGATTTACTGTATTTGTGAGGACTTTTCAGACATTTTTCCGACGCAACTGTGCTGATTCCCTCATAAAATTCATTCAGTTTATCTTAAAAGGATGTTCCGACATTTCCCGCTCTATTACCTGCAGTCTGAAATGGATTGTAAAGGTTTATTTTCTGGCCGTGCTAAATGCCAATCTTTGCCCATTTCATGTTTCGCTTTCACACATCATTCCTGTCGGTGTGTGAAAGATCCTTTAGCTCTGAAAATGTCCCTCAACAGCTGCCTTTCCTAGATTAAATCACCATGCATGCTTCTCTCAGGACTTGTGGCCCCCTACTGGCGGCTGGGTAATTCTGCTACCATTCTGCTTTAGTGGCAATCAAGTATCAGTACAGCTTTCTTTAGTTTCAAATAGGTAATCATCTTGTTTTGACTGAAGTATGCCTAGCTTTGTGAAGAGAAATATTTGTTATATACAAGCTATATGATTGTACAGCGCAGAATTATTTTACCACAGTGGGCAGCTGTTAAAAACCCCCACCTTTTTCCAGCCTTTTTCAGCCTTGCCAGTGCTGGAGGGATGAAGCTATCTCAGCACGTCATCATTTTGGCTCTGAATGGTTCTGGCGAATGGAAAAATCCATCGAACTATCCACACACACATGCTTGGAATTATTAGCATTTCAGTAAATATTAATTGGCTGAGCTACATTGCCTACAGGAGTCTTCAGTGTGCATCCACTTTATCTTATACTCATTGTGAAGAATAGTCACTTTTCAACTTGTTTGCTTTTGTCTAAGGTTTTGCTGGCACACCTGGCTACCTGTCTCCAGAGGTGTTGAGGAAGGATCCCTACGGCAAACCTGTGGACATCTGGGCCTGTGGTGAGTCTTCAACAGGGTCCTTAATCATTAGACCTCTTGCATATTCAGTCTGCTTGAACTGCTTCCCATATTAACAGGTTGCAGTATTGACACTGCACGAGTACGTCATGCTGCATAGCACTGGAAGTAGAATTTCAGTGCCGAGCTTATTTTTGATGCGCGTCGCATGCTGAACTCAGCAGAAAATATAGTGCAGATGCTCTGTGGACCTGTCTGTCAACACAATCTTTTGCAAAACATGCTTTAATGAAGCAAATAATGAGTGAACACAGGGACGAACGTCAGGTTCAGGCTGCAGGTAACACATGCAGCCAACAAACTACACTTTCTTTTTACATAAGGTACTAGTCAACAGTGTTGAGTTCCATGTAAAACTACCACCATTTGGATGTAAATATGGTATTGCTTTGTCATATGAATTGTATTTCACAACAATCCAGTTGGAAGTTAACTCGCTGTGCATTAAAATTGTGTAATGCACATCTAGCCCTGGATTATCCCGCTTATACCATGGTTACTTGCCAACACTAACAAGTTAAATGTTTGAGCCACAAAATTTGACTGTAAGGGTTAAAATTACAGTTTGTTTTGTTCGCTACGACTCGTTAGATATAGCATTCTGCATGTTTTAAATCCGACACTGAGATAAAGTAGTAAGATTACATTTATTTGATTGAATTATAATATTTATTTTAATGAATTATTGAGAGAGAAAGAGAGAGAGAGATGTGCATGTGATTTACCTGCATCTGTGCTATGAAGCTGTGAGTTTAATTACTTTAAAAACGGCAACATTACCACCTCTTTGCTGAGTAATATAATGTAGCAAATTTATTTATTTCTAAAAGTCCTGGGGCAGCATTGACAACAAGTTTCTGTGCTCCTGAATGTTTCTGTGTGCGTAGCACAATCTCTGATCTCTCTCTCTCTATGTGTGCGTGTGTGCTTCAATGAAACTGGAACTACCTGTGCATTACATGGTTTGAACGCGCACCTTCCAGCCAATCAGAATGGAGTATTCTGACAGACCATGGTATAAACGAACTGTAATGCAATCAGTGGAACAACTTCATAACCATGCTGAAAAAACCTTGGAATGTCTGTCAGCCAATCAGAATCAAATATTTAACAGTATGAGGTAAATGTTTCTTTCTCTCTTGTTTCCCCTTTCTGTCTTTCTTTCACAGGTGTAATCTTGTACATTCTACTAGTGGGCTACCCTCCATTTTGGGATGAAGATCAACACAAGTTATACCAGCAGATCAAGGCTGGAGCTTATGATGTAAGTACAGTTGTCGTCCAATGCAGCCACACTCTCTCACTGTAGTTCAGTCCCGCCGCTCGAAAAAACCCTTCATCTGATTGGTCTTTCAATGCACCATCAAGTCTTTAAAAGGGGGGCATTCACTAGGAGTGTAAAAACTCTTGTTGCCTTGCACATTTACTTTGGCCACATTTCAGTCAGATTTGCATCAATTTTTGAAGCCATGTTTTACTTTTAAATCATATTTTTGGTTGTTGCTAATTAGTCCAGTCTATGTGAATTAAGTCGTTTCATGAATCAGTCTAGTGAGGCTTGTTTAATATTAGGCCGCACATCACAAGGCCTCTACATCCTTTCCTTCTGGAATTTCCCAGAAGGATACTGTTAACACCGTTTCCTGTCAACATTTGTGAAATCACTTGGAATAAAATTCAAGAGGCAGAGCTGTGCAAGAAATGTTTAAACCAGTGGCAATAATGGGCCAAGAGGTAGAAATAAGATTTATTAAAACCTGGAGACATAAATAAAATATAATGTAATCAAGTAATGCTCAAACAATTAATCAATGAGCTGGAATTTAATTTTGTTTTATAAAAAAATATGTATTTTATTTTATTGAATTCAGCCTTTAATAAATTATTAAATGTTTCTATTTATTTTATAATTTTTTGAAATACATATTAATTTTAAAATATAAAAAATATATAAAATAATAAAATTCCAGCTCATTGCTTAATTATTCCCGCATTATTTGATTGCAACAGATGTCGCAAGGTCTCTGCAACACTTTCTGTGGTCCGAATGCCTGTTTAATTTCTGATTGGGTGCGATTTAGAACTACGGGTGCTGTTATTGATTATGTCAGGCCCTCCCTGACGCATTGCAGAGAGATGGGCTTTGCTTAGAAACAACTGCCTTGTCCCAGAGTGTATGTGCTTGTTTGTTTGTTTGCTTGTGTGTGTGGTGCGTTTTTAAATTGTCCATCAATTGCATCACCGTCTCACACCCTCAGATGTATTTAGCAGGACATGGAGTGAGTGACTGCCCCAGAGAGATATTCATTCCATTAAAATGTACGTGTCAAATAAAAGGGAGGAGATGATATGATTGTGGCTTGTTGTGAATGTGAATGTGTGTTACACTGTTAGAAGGGTTTGGTGGTCACAGTGTCAGGCCAGGTCAGTTCACCTCAGGGGAGGGCGATATGACAAATCTTTTATCACAAAATATATATAACAATGTAGTTATTTTTCGCTGAAAACCCAACCACAAAATGGTTCATATCAAGAACACATTGGGGGTTGTAGTTCCCAAAGTGTAGTTCCAAATTTTGCATACTCTCTTACAGGGTTCCAGACTGCGACCAAATTGGTCGCATATGCGACCATTTTTTGAGAATGTGCGAGTTAAAATGTTATGTGGTCGCATTTGTGCGAGTGCACGCTTGAGCAACAGAACGCCGTTGTATCAGCTGCTGCAGTCCGTAACTTATGTTCAAAATAAACGAGTAGGCTACATCATGAATCCATTTTCCAAACCGTGTTTTTGACTTATTCTGAATCACTACGGTACGCCTATAATAAGTGTTTATATTCGGAGTATTTTATCCCGGGGTCGTCTCGGCTGCGGAGTAGCCCAGTGCCTGCGTGACTCGCCATAGACATTAACGGAGAGAAGTTCCGTCTACAATGTTCTTCCGCAAGACACGTGCAGTTTATTTATTGACGAACGTAGACGTCACGCGCATTGCACACTGATGGTGAAACGCGCCAATTACGAATTCACGAATTAAGGCATATAAAAATGATAAAAATGGTCTCACGAAACACAGAGCCCCTTCCTCCTACGTCTTTTCAGCGGTTATATTTTCCTCTGTCGAGCGATTACTCTCATGATCGCTCGACAGAGGAAAAGGAAATTATTATAAAATGCAGAAGGTAAGGAGTGTGAGATTTCTGCTTTTTGTTACAACTATAAACATTGATAACGAAAAATCTGTATCAGTTTATTATAATACTCTAATCTTTTAAAATGTAATGCATACATTTGAATGTTTAATGATTTTTAAAAGATAGAAAGATGATAATAGACAGATAGATAGATAGATAGAATATGATTCAAATGTAAATAGATAGATTGTATATAATTCAAATGTAAAATGCTTAAAATTACAGATTAAAATTACTGTACAAAATCCACGAAAATCCTGAAATTTGGCAATGATAATTAATATATTACAGGTATTTCTGCTGCAACCCAGAAAGCCTTTGCTAGCCTTGGTCCATTAAAACCACTATTCATCAGCATGCATTGATTAATCCCATGGCATGTAGCAAAAAAAAAAAAAAAAAAAGGTGTGACCAAATCATATGCAGGTGCGACCAACTGAGAAAGTTGGTAGCACCAGTGCAACCAGTGGAAAAGTTAGTCTGGAGCCCTGCTCTCTTATGATGCTTGCTTTTTAAATTAAAGGCATTCAAATAATCATTATTGATGTTCAGAGTCAAATAATTTCCATTATATGTACATGATATTTTCATTGTACTTCATGGGAGAAGGAAATGTTCTGCTGAGCATGGGCCCCTGATTTATATAATAATGTGGTATAGTATAGTCAATGAAGATAGATTTATGAAATGGTTGTTCGTCCCATTTGATTATTTTCTCTTAGTATTTGGAAATTGATGGACACAGAAACCAAATTATATGATGAATAATGATGAATAAGATTATATAATAAGATCTAGATTTGGTGTTCACAAACAATTCTTTTCAATGTTATCATCAATAATAGGAATATTTTTATGGAAACTGTGATACTTTTTTTTTTATGATTCTTTGATGAATAGAAAGTTCAAAAGTACAGCATTTATGTGAAATAGATTTTTTTTTAACATTATCAATGTTTTATTGTTACTTTTGACCAATTTAATGCATCCTTAAGGAACAAAAGTATTAATTTCTTTTAAAAAAATGTTACTGACTTGCAAACTTTTGCATGGTAGTCTATAACAGAAGACAATAAATATTATAAAGATAGTTCTGGCTCTAAATTCTGATAGGATGATTCCTTCTGTTGACTTGTCCCACTCTTTATTGTTTTGCATTTTTCTTTGTTAGCACGTTATCACGTGTAAAGTAAATAACACCCAGTAACGTTGGTAATATGTACCATGGCATAAATCTTAATCCAAATCTCTACGGGTTGACACATTGCTATTGTCGCACAGTATATGCTGTAAGAATCAAGAATAGGAAACCTTACCTTGAGCTTCTCTGTTTTGTACTTTTGTAACCTTTTGTCATGTGATCACAATCAATGAGGTGTAGTTGTGCCTCATCATCCATTACAAGCTTCTGTCACTGCTCCTTCCGGCCATGGGTTCACATTTGAATGCACCGTCCGCAGTCCTGAGTGGCCGTCTTTGCTGAAGCAGCGCACAACAGTGCAAAAACGCCCCACCCATGACATGTTTTAGCAGTGCCCTGAGCCAAAAGCGCAGCTGAATCAGTGTGTGTAAGGGCTTATGAGCACCTGCAGTGTTTCTAAGTACAATCCACATGCTCGTTTTAGCTGATGCAACACAGCTTGATGCGCAAACAAATTATACTTCCTGGAACCTACCCAAGGTTTTCTTGGAGCAGACAAAGGATTTGTAACAGCCACATTAAGATCTCCTGGTATGAAAGAGGAGGTGCGACACACATTCAACACTGATACAGACACAGCTTTTTATTGGCTAATTACAACTGCAATTTTCTCTAGTTACGGGCTGCAATGAAGCCATGAGGTGTGAAATGCGCAAGCAACATGTTTCGAGCACCAGCCGTGCCGAATAGACCGACTGTAGGAGGACTGACTGGCGTGACTCATTGAATCCTGTACGCTGCCTTGTGACAGGTTTAATTTCATTAGGCCTCAATGCAGACTGCTCTGTATGTGTGTCCGTACGTACGTATTGTGGTGTGAAAAGCTCTCTAGGCATTCTCCTGCATTTAGATTGCATATCTAACACTCACTCGTAATTCTTTCCCCTACAGTTTCCCTCTCCGGAGTGGGACACGGTCACCCCCGAGGCCAAGAACCTCATCAACCAAATGCTGACCATCAACCCAGCTAAGAGAATCACAGCAGAGCAGGCCCTCAAGCACCCATGGGTCTGCGTAAGTTATCTCTGCTGAAGACTTAATTTACCACAAGCCCCAAGCAAGAAAGAATTGATTGAGTTTAATGTGAAATGCAGCCTTTCACACTGTCACTTTCCACAAATTTGAGCTCTCAGATTAAGTTGACGTGTTTTAGGTCAGAATAAGGTACTTAAAGGAATAGTTCACTTATATATGAAAATAGGCTGTGTTCCTCACACAAAACTATCGTATGACTTCAGAAAACTTAGATGCAACAATAAGACTACCGGTACTTTTATGGTGTTTTTGCATTCTTTTTGAAGCCTGAAAGTTCACCATTCATTGAATTGGAAAAGGGTATATATACAATATAATACAATTCACAATATATTGTGAAAATAACCCCTTGTGTGTTCCACGGAAGAACACAATTCATACAGGACCACATGAGGGTGTGTAAATAATAAAACAATGTTCTTTTTTGGGTGGACCATTCCTTTAATTGGTTCAAATACCTCTATGATGCTGATGTGCAATTTTTTCTTTGTCTTTTTTTGCTCGTTTCAGCAACGGTCCACTGTGGCGTCCATGATGCATCGCCAAGAGACTGTGGAGTGCTTGCGCAAGTTCAATGCCCGCAGAAAACTCAAGGTACGGAGGCTTTGAAGGGCCAGTAGACTATCTCCAGTCTTCATCCCTTGGGTAATTAGTGCTGAAAGTCCTGTTGCCATGGACTAAACACTCTTATTTTTCTCTGTCTTTGTTCAGGGAGCCATTCTTACTACTATGCTGGTTTCTAGAAACTTCTCAGGTGAGTTCCCTCATTCTCCTGGGATCAGGTAGGAAAGTGCAAAGTCATGGATGAACTTGGCCCACCTCTTGAACTCTTGCTCCAGTTTTCACTATAAAAAAAGATCTCCAAAGGCTGACTCAGTAATTTAATGGAAGGAAAATTCACTTTTGGATTACAGGAGTATAAAGTATATATATATATATATATATATATATATATATATATATATATAATATTAAATTGTTCTGCTCCAAGTCTGTATCTCGGTTTCTTTGAGCTGTTAAGGATTTCTCTCTGAGGCTCGAGGATAACAGTAAAGGAATATCTATAACTTTCTTCTTCGTTTGTTTAGTTAAGTTAACATTTGCGCAGTTTACTTCCTGAACTGACAATGTTTACTCAGATTTGTGCAGGTATATGTCTTTCATAACGCAGGTTTGAGAGCTTTAGCTTGATTTTAGAGACAGATATTCTAGAGCAGGGTTCCTCAAACTCGGTCCTGGAGGGCCACTGTCCTGCACAGTTTAGCTCCAACCTTGATCAAACACACCTAGCTGTGAGTTTCTAGTGATCCCGAAGACATTGATTAACTTGCTCAGGTGTGTTTGATCAGTGTTGGAGCTAAAATCTGCAGGACAGCTGCCCTCCAGGACAGAGTTTGAGGAACCCTGTTCTAGAACTTAATTCTTTATAAAAAACAAAACAAAGATAACTTGTTCAGTAGAGGGTTTAAATAAAATTCCATAGCTTCTCCCAACTCAACGCCTCTCTGTCCAATAGTGGGCCGGCAGCATACCAGCCCTGCTGCTCCCACCACAAGCACTGCCGCGCTTGCACAGGAAGGTATGTGAGAGTGCATCTCCTCCCCTCGCCACCAGGGGGACCAGCGAGCCCCCTCCACAATTCCTTCAAACCCCCGCCCTCCTCCCTCTTGCTCTATCCAATCAGCATGCATCCAATGAGAAACCTGCCTTTCTTGCCATCACTTGCATACATTATTTGGTTTACCTCAGTCTTCACTCTCATGAACAACATCTGCTATATAGTCTTGGAGAAGTTCTCACATTTAAAAGGATAGTTTTCTCCATTTCTCACATACACGTCATACATTTGAGCAATGTTTAGAGTTTATGGATTAGCATGTCATTTTTTCAGCCATGTTTTACTATGCTTTGCTATTACCTGACCATGTAACATTGCATTCATCTAGCTAGCTTTTAACCCTACTAGTTGTAAAAAGTATTAGATGAGGTTCAGTTATCTTCCCACCTCTAATCTGGGTCTAATCAATGAAATAGATCATTAAAATTAAAGAATAATTCCTACTCGGCATCTAGGCATCTTTCAAATTCAATTTTAAAAAAAATGTATATTCAAAATTAAAACCATTTTGTAGGATTTAATTAAGTATTTGGTTATAGATTGATTTTTTTTTTCTTTTTCTTTACTGATCATTATTTGTTACCCTATTTTGAGAATGACTCTTATTTGAACTATCTTACCTTTTGTTCATCTCTCAAAAAGTCTGTTTGTTTATCCGTCGCCATAGATTGGCTCTTTTTATATGCGTGAACAAACAATATCTCATTTCATCTTGCAACTATCCCCAGTTCAGTTTACACACAGTAGCTCTAGGCAAACCAATCCAATCAATACCACAGCACTATATTCATGTTAACGATTGCCACCATCGGCTTGCATGCATTATCGTCTGCATGGAGTTAAAAACGCGAATGCCGCTGCTTCTCCTTTTATTAGACTTTCTCTTTCCCTCTGTCTATCTCGCTCTGTTCCTCTCGGTTAAATTGCTTCAGCCCTTTTTGACTCCCTCCTTCCCTGCTGTTCAGCTTTCTGGTGTTTTGTGCTATTGGGTTAAGTAGCTTTTAAGTGAAGTCTGCTTTAGCTGAAGATACAGGACCCCGGTCAGGTGTCTGTCCTCAGCCCGCTTCTGTGCTCTCCACCTCATGGAGAATAATGAGGTTTGGATGGGATGGAGGTTTGGGGGTTCTTAGATCTGTGTCCTGTGTCATTAACTAAAGCAGACCTGTGCAGCCTAGCCAAGCCACCATTGCCCTACCACTCTCCTTTTCAACTCTTCCTCCTCCCCTCGCCAAGAGCGCAGGGGCTTAACTACATGGACGGGCAGGAGCGGGGTTGGCTTGCTGCCAGTCGTCAGACCCGATGTAGCTGGCACACGTGTCCGGTGAGAGCCAGGTGGTCTGCGGGGAAGGAGGCCCGCTGGAGGGCAGATGGACGACACTGTTGACAGTGTCTCTGAGTCAGGAGAAAATGGAGAGAAGGTCTCTGGTTCCAGTTGTGTTGTCTGGTCAAATTGAATTGTTACACTCTTACCAAAGTCTGGGACAGCTGTCTGTCAGAACCAGTAAATGTCAGCCAGCTGTCATCTTCAACAAGCTGTGTCTGAGCAGCTGCCGTCATGGTGAGAATACTCCATATGTACAAAATGGGCAAAGGAGAACAGTTAAGAAAAGATCAGATCCTTGCAGATCCCTCAGGATTATGGAAAACAAACTAGAGCTCTTCGTTGTCTTGTTGAACCTGTTAATATGTACTGTTTTGGTTGTTTCAGCAGAAATAGGATCGGTTCAGAATAGCATACAACGTACTTCTCTTACTCTTTCCGCAGGATTTTCTGTATCCATAAAATTCTCCAAGGAGCTATAGAAAGCTACCCATTAGCATTCCCATTAAAGTAGTATGCAACCTGGATGCTGTCAGGAAAATGCACTCTTGGCTCACTGTTTGAAAAGTAAAATTTATAACATGTGTAAAAATATAATTTTACCTCTACGTACAGCATCCATGGCCTCAATTACCACATATAATCCCAATTTAAATGTATACACTCCCATTCTTTTTTTTCTTTTTTTTTTTTTTACAATCCAAAGAGTTTAAAGTTGTACTTTAACCTGGAATATTCCTTTAATGTTCTTTTGAGCCGTCCAATCAATGCTCTCCATCAGTTCTTGGCTTCAACTAGTACTGTAAGTGTTTATAACTCTTTATATACTGTTATTGTAAAAGCCAGTCCTCAAGTTGAATATGTACGATGTTAACCAATAACCAGTAATGACATTTCATCAATGTTTCTTCATTCTTTTTTAAGAGCTTTTCATTTTATGACCAAGCTAAGACTTACTGACCAATAGATTATGAAGATATGGCATGTTAGTATGTCTGCTTTGTCGCCTGTTAAATCTATAATATATAGTTTGTTGCTTGCACAGGTCTGATTTAAAGGTGTATTGAATGTGTAATGGCTGTTGATTTTACTAGCTCAATCTGCTGCCTTAAAGACCTTTTTTCTCTTTTGAAGCCTGAAGCATTATTTAATAGGGGTGTGAATATTTGCTTAATTTGATTTAATTTGATTAAGTTATTTTCATTTGAAATTTGGTCACAATTATTTTGTTATGAATATTAAAGAAACGGATGCTTAAAATGTGTCGGGACAATTAAACGTGCAAAAGATGTATGTATTTGGTGGATATTTATAATGGAAGATCGTTTGAAAAATGTACACAATAAATGATTTTTAAATGCCCTATGCAATTATAAGCAGTAAATACATTTTTGTAATCAATGCATTGAAATTTTATTGATTCATATATTCACCCCTGTTATTTAAACTGCATTAGGATGCCACATTACCCTTTTTTGCATAGTATAATTATGTTATCTTTAAATCAAAGAAGGTTACTGCACTTTGTTTGAAAATGAGTTAATTTGTTCCTCCTTATATAATTTATTTCCACTCAGCATTAATCGTGGTATGACTGCAGCGTGGCCGTCCTGGGGTCCCATATCCATCTGATTGTTCCGCAGTATAACTGAAGACTGCTGGCTCAGCTTTCCCAGTCACAGTCTGTGAATCCTATGAGACATAGTTAGATATGTGAGAGAGAGACAGTGGAATGGTAATGAGTTGAGGTCTAGCTTTATGACTCCTTCATCAGTGCATTGCATTATGGGACTCGTAATCCCGTTGGCACTGCATGGCTGACCGTATGGTGAATTGCATCCACCACCACCAACACCTCTCACCTCATAATTAGTGAAGCATGAAAGCAGGACTGCAATGCAAACAATGCCTGCTAACTTCCAGCTTGTCCTCTCTGCTTCTAAATGGGTTTTTGTCTTAACCTTGCCATCTTTTCTTCCAATTTGTTTATTGAAGGTAAGGCTTTTAACAGGAATACCGATTGTGAAACCTGAGTATTTAGTTGGTTTTTTTTTTTTTTTTTTTTTTGATTGAGGTTTTATAGGTCTTTTGATTGTTCTCTGAGGGAATCTGAAGTGTATTGGGGGCCATTTCCCCTACACTGACCCAAGACCTCCCAAACATGCCCTCTGGGAAATAACAGTTGCAGTTAAAGGAAAAATCAATTGCATACATTAGCCATGATTTTCCCCTCATTATGTCTGCGGCCGCAAATAGAGAACAAATTCATTCACTTTATCTGCTTTGAGATTGGTGAAAAATGGAATAAAATGGGTAATTTATTCCAAGTCTGTGCAGTTAGTTAATTTTAAAGGGGTTATATCACACTTAAAAAAAATAATAATTATCCCTCCTCCCTCCCCCTCTTATAATATTAGTAAAAAATAAATAAATAAATAAATAAACACTTTTTTTGTCACCGAAATGGCCATAAAAATTACCCAGGTTTTTTATGACCATTAATTAAGCAGGAATTTATTTGATTTTTTTCTGTTCCTTTAAGAAACACTTTGTACTTTGCTGCACCTACTTATCGATTTTATATGTATTTATGAATAAAATTTGAGGTCAGTAAAATGTTTAATGTGTTTTATGCGCACCAAGGCTGCGTTTATTTGATTAGAAATACTGTAAAAACATTTGCGAAATATTATTAAAAATGTATTTTATATTTTACATTACATAAAATGTTATTTATTCCTGTGATGGCATAGCTGAATTTTCAGCAGCTATTACTTCAGTGATTTGGTGACCAAAATGTTTTTTTTTTTTTTTTTACATTTCTTACTATTTGCAATGTTGAAAACAGTTGTGCTGATTAATATTTTTGTGGAAACCATAAAAGGTTTCTTTGATGAATAGAAAGTTCAAAAGAACAGCATTTATTTAAAATAGAAATCTTTTGTAACAATGTAAAATTATTTACTGTAGAAAAAAAAAAACTAAAAACCTTTTGCATATTTATGCATATTTCTAATTGTGACAAATGAAGTGTGCTGTACAAACTGTTGACTGAAATAATCAGAGAGATCTGCTAATTATTTCTAATGTTGAGTTTGAATAAACTAACTTTTTTCTCACTGGTGAAAAGTTTGAGTTTGAAGTTGCTTGAGTTGAAGATGTTTTCATACAGTACAGTAGTTCAGCAAACTCTCTTAAAGATCAAGGGGAAATTTGATCCCTCAAGATATGACCCCCTTAAAGTTAATTTTACCAAAATGAATTTCTCATTTGCGGTAAGTTATTTATTTATAAGTTACATCCTTTTTACCTTCCTCTCCCAAAGCTTCATATTTCTTTGGCTTAAACTGATATATAAAGATCAATGAGAAATTTCTCCTGTGGTGAAAAATGATTCTAGTCAGCATTACCTCCCAAACCCTGTATGCTAATGAATGATGGAATGCAAGCCAGCAGTTTGTTAAATGTTTTATATGGGATTTATTTGAAATATGTGCAGTTGTGAGCATTCTGCTGGTTTTGTCACTCACACTGTATGTAGTAATTTGATTTTTTTCTGTTCCCTACAGCATGCAAAAGTTTACTCAACAAAAAGGCAGATGGAGTCAAGGTAAGTCCACAGATGTTCCTTATAAACCGACTTTCTTGTGGAGTTTGAGATGTTTTAATCTCTCCTGCAGCCTTTTGAGGTTTCCATCTCTACCACTATTGAACTGGTTTTAATTCAATCACCACAATTTAGTAAAAGTATATTGGTACCCTTAGGCAGTAGACTGTGCTTTGCTGTAGAAGTCTTGCGCTCTGAGGTTATTTTACAAATTAGCCGTTGTACAACCCATGTGTTGCCTGAGCGGATCTAGTTATCAGACTGTATTATAATGATTTTGACTACAGCTGTAAGGTACCATGAAATGTCCATTACTAATTGTCGCCCTCTGTCTGAATGATGGATAACTCTGTACAGTCATCTTCCTGGCGTATGTTATTCATCTGATGTGTGATTTTTAACTGCCATCCGATCCGATCATTTCCCTAGTGATGTCATCTCTCTGAAAAGAAAGTTGTATATGTCCTCTCTATTTCAGCCCCAGACAAACAACACTAAAAACAGTGTAGTGAGCGCTGTAGTGAACGCCATGAAAGAAAGCAACACGGCCTCTTCTACACCGATGGTACCTCATCTACATTCAACACTCTTTGTAACACATCTACTCATTTGACCGTATCCCATAATACATTTCTGCTAATGTTGTATTTGGTGCATGTCAGAAGTTTTTGCATGTACTAAATACATCAGACCTGTAGTTTGCTGTGCAGTAGATGTCTTAGTCATTCCTCCCTTATGTGTGTTTTTTTTTTTTTTTGGAGTGCTCATGTCCTTTCAAAGCACGCCTGGTACACATAATTGTGGTGTTTTATAAACATATAAGGATTTGTTCTTGTCCGTAAGCTGCTGGTTTATGTCCTTCTGCACTCCTCTTGTTTGCCTCTGTAGGCGTTTACAACTACACTGCTATTACAACTACATACTAAATCTAGTCATCGGACAAGTTCGTCTTTGACATTGCACTTATTGTATATACATGGTGCTGAAAAATAACCAATATAAGACTAGAATTTGAGCCAAGTCACCATACAGAGTAGCATAAATGTATGGATTCCAGCAAATAAGTAGGTAATTTGAGTCAGAGGGCATAAACCAGTCACAGTAAAGATGCAGTGTCCCACGCATAAAGCTGTCAGTTGTTTGGCCATGTTGGAAACTAGGAGTGTCCCCTGGAGATTTAAGAAAAGGAGAGCGGATTGACACTTCAGATGGGCCTTGTTTGCTCGACTGCCCAAATAGCTGAGCTAAGAGTATCCTGGGACCTCCAAAACAATCCATTAAGAGCACAAGTTAACCCCCGACCCGTCCCGATGCCTCCAAAAGCCTTCACAGTGCTGATGGACAGCTAGCAACCACTGGGGTATATGAAACACACAAGACCCAGAAATGGCAATTAGAATAATAATATGCACTATGCAGTATTGTTCAATATTTTAAGGATTCAAATGGATCAGTTTGGGTGAAATGGGTAAATAACTGGAAGTTAATCAGAGGAAACATATAGGGCATATAATCCAGAAATTGCTTGATTCAAGGCAGATTTTTAACTCATTTATGATTCTCTATCCCTGTGGTTCTGGCAGAATGTTAGTTTAATTTGAGGAACTGCATCTTTAGATCTTTGTGACGCATGCCATTTATTATTTTTATAAGTGTACACGTGTGGTCGGTTTTTCTGCAGTGAGCTGTGTGTTCATCAAACTCATCACGAACCTCAACCTTATGTTCATTTCCACATAAAAAATAGTCTGTTTTGATCAATATATGAACTCAAATTCCTTATTTTGTGTCTTAACCAAGCTCAGCTTTAAAACTATGCGTGTTTATTCCTTGAGGAAGTTGTGTTTAACCAGATCGTTGTGGATGAGTCTTACCTACTTTAATCATGAAATGAAATCTTGTTAAATTTTACAGGAGCCACAAACTACAGTTGTGCACAACCCTGCCGATGGCCCCAAGGTACAATTTTCAGGAGCTTTTAGAATAGGGGTGGGGAACAATTCACAAATTGCACTATTACAGTTCTTTCTAAATTAATCTGGGCTAATCAAAGTTTTATTAATAATAATAATATTGTTATTAATATACTACTAATAATAATTGTATAACTTTGGCAAGACTATGGTACTGTATTGTTGCTAAAGCGTTCAGTTATTTTTTAATCAAAAACAAGTCAAATCTTGAGGTATTTTATATTTTTCTTTTATTATACATGTGTATATATACACTCACCGGCCACTTTATTAGGTACACCTGTCCAACTGCTCGTTAACACTTAATTTCTAAGCAGCCAATCACATGGCGGCAACTCAGTGCATTTAGGCATGTAGACATGGTCAAGACAATCTCCTGCAGTTCAAACCGAGCATCAGTATGGGGAAGAAAGTTGATTTGAGTGACTTTGAACGTGGCATGATTGTTGGTGCCAGAAGGGCTGGTCTGAGTATTTCAGAAACTGCTAATCTACTGGGATTTTCACGCACAACCATCTCTAGGGTTTACAGAGAATGGTCCGAAAAAGAAAAAACATCCAGTGAGCGGCAGTTCTGTGGGCGGAAATGCCTTGTTGATGCCAGAGGTCAGAGGAGAATGGCCAGACTGGTTCGAGCTGATAGAAGGGCAACAGTGACTGAAATAACCACTCGTTACAACCGAGGTATGCAGCAAAGCATTTGTGAAGCCACAACACGCACAACCTTGAGGCGGATGGGCTACAACAGCAGAAGACTCCACCGGGTACCACTCATCTCCACTACAAATAGGAAAAAGAGGCTACAATTTGCAAGAGCTCACCAAAATTGAACAGTTGAAGACTGGAAAAATGTTGCCTGGTCTGATGAGTCTCGATTTCTGTTGAGACATTCAGATGTTAGAGTCAGAATTTGGCGTAAACAGAATGAGAACATGGAACCATCATGCCTTGTTACCACTGTGCAGGCTGGTGGTGGTGGTGTAATGGTGTGGGGGATGTTTTCCTGGCACACTTTAGGCCCCTTAGTGCCAATTGGGCATCGTTTAAATGCCACGGCCTACCTGAGCATTGTTTCTGACCATGTCCATCCCTTTATGGCCACCATGTACCCATCCTCTGATGGCTACTTCCACCATGTCACAAAGCTCTAATCATTTCAAATTGGTTTCTTGAACATGACAATGAGTTCACTGTACTAAAATGGCCTCCACAGTCACCAGATCTCAACCCAATAGAGCATCTTTGGGATGTGGTGGAACGGGAGATTCGCATCATGGATGTGCAGCCGACAAATCTGCGGCAACTGTGTGATGCCATCATGTCAATATGGACCAAACTCCCTGAGGAATGCTTCTAGCACCTTGTTGAATCTATGCCACGAAGAATTGAGGCAGTTCTGAAGGCAAAAGGGGGTCCAACCCGTTACTAGCATGGGGTACCTAATAAAGTGGCCGGTGAGTGTATATACGATTTAATTATATATATATATATATATAATTATAATTATTATTATTATCAATATTATTTTATTATTTTTTTACTTGCAAAATATTTGTGGCCCTGCACTGTTGCTAAAAAATTGAGATGTATCAAGAATCACTCTCTGAATCAATAACATTGAATTGAATCGTGAGGTGCCTAAAGATTCCCACCCCTAATTCTGAAACTTATTTCAGAGACCATAGCCTAATGCTATTCATGACACTTCCTTCATGTCTCATGTATTGTTTGTCTTGTATGTTCTTTGTCTGTCTCTGTTTCTGTCCTCAGGGCTCCACAGAGAGCTGTAACACCACTGAGGAAGAGGATATGAAAGGTAGGAAAGGTACACAGATCTTCTCTCCTGTTCTCTGCATGCCTTCAGCACGGTGGAGTTCCAGCTCCCGGTGCTCGTGTCAAAAGGGTAATCCCTCTCCTCTCCGAACACTTCCGGTACTGCAGTCCCAAAAAGGCCTTTGATTGAACAATATACATCTCACATCAGTCAACAGCCATTTGAAATATGAAACATGAGGCTGTGGAGACACATGAAGCTTTGTGATTTGAAGGCAGGGCCATGAACTCATGCTGCCGGATGGAAAGGAGGGGAATTACGGTAGAGGGCATTGAGACGGGGTTTGATGGATTGTGCTTTACACATTAACATGCATGATGGCACAACCCTTTTGGTTTACAGCTAAATTGCTAGTTTAGAGATACAATGTTCGAAAAGATCCATAGTGAAGGTGCACTTGACAGATTTAGCTACAGTATTCAGTAAATGAGGGCAAATTCATTGTGAAAAAAACCCCCAAAGCATTCACAAACATTCCTATCCGGATGGGATTAGATTTCTCTGAACTCCAAGATAGTGGAGGAAAAACAAAGACATGTTTAATTCAAATTAAACCAAATAAAATTGCAAAGTACATCTGTGAAACACAAATTTACCTGACGTCCTCAGAGAAAACTAGTCCCATCTGACTAGGGCTTTAATAAGCATTTCTGTCAGATCACTCACGCAATTTGTCATTGTCACGCAAATGAATTTGCAGCCACATTCAAATGATTTAATCCAATTTAAATATACATAATATACATCTGTTTTTAAGCTGTCAGTCTCTCAGTAGGTTTCCTTGTAGATTTTGTGTGTGTGTGTGTGTGTGTGTGTCCTGTGTTTTTCACCCCACTTATTTAGATGTTTGTTGATGTGCCGTGTCTTGTAAATTCATTAGCATGTTGTGAACCGGACTGTTTTTCCCGAGGGACTCTCGCCGATACAGTTTTCTGTCACGAAAAGGGCCAGGCTCGAATTCATTTCCTCTCCTTATTCACTCCGAGCCTGAACAGACAATAGCAGCTTAAAGAGCCTTATCATTAGCTCCGTCACGTCTGAGGTTAGGTGATGAGGACAGGAAATTGCCGCGGAGCCTGGAGAAACAATTTCTGAGCGCGCTGTTGTCCAAGCACAACAAACACGACTCAGCTTCACCACACCCATAGATACAGACCTGCGTCACACCATCACTCATGGAAAATCCAGGATCATCACCTGTAGTTCTGTTCCCATAAACACAGTGCTTCTTTTATCGAGAACAGCTCATCTAAACGCATCCCATCCAGCGTCTTCGTGACCGTTAAGCTATTTAGTCATGATTGCGTGCCAGCGTTGGTGTGGTGTATGTGTTAGTTTGTTTCGGCTGGTGAAGGACATGAGAGATGTGTGTGTTTTTCCTCCTGGTGTCGTGTGGTTTTGGGGCTGTGCCAGCCGAGAGTGCGCAGGGAGCGAGCAGTGACAGTGCCGTGATGAGTCAGTGCAGTGCCGGGGAAGAGCCGCCCGCTCTGGTGGCTTCACCACTGGGCTCTCCTGCCAGTAAGTCAAGATCCTCTCGTACCACCTGGGCACCTTCAATCTCCCCCTCAAACCTTCAAGTCGAGACCTTTTTGTCCCACCCACCCCCCCACAACTCCCGCCTTTCTGCCCTTCAGCATACTATCATACGAGTCACTTGTTTTACGTGTAGAACAGTATGTCACAGTTGTTGATCCCCTTTTTTGCTCACAAATGTATTCACCCCCTGATGCATGCTACTTACTCAACTGTACTGTTGTAAAGTCACAGAACATGCCCTTTAGTAGCTAGATTGACCCTTTAGATGTTCTTCTACTGATTTTTCCTACATTCTCCTCCCTGATTGATCTCGCACACGTCGTAAACGTTAATATGCATTTTTGCACATACACACATTTCAATAGATTCCCACAACCAAGCTACACATTTGTGATTTCATTTGTCACTGTTTGATGAGAAACTACTCCATACAGTCTCTAATGTATTGCGGACCTTAAGAAAAACCTGAAATAGGCCTAGTATGTAGAGTATCTAGTGAAATTATGCTTTTATTTTCTTCTATCATTATTCATAGTCCTTTATGAATTCTAATGCTTGTTTTTAATTTGAAATAATTGTATTATATTTTTTCAACTAGCCAAAGCCATTTACATAAACTACTTTAAAAAAAGTCTGGGGTCAGTAAGACTTGTATTATTCAGCAAGGATCCATTAATAAATTGCAAATCATATTAGAATGATTTCTGAAGGATCATGTGACACAGAAGACTGGAGTAATGATGCTGAAAATCCAGCTTTGCCATCACAGACATTTTAAAATATATTAAAATAAAAATGTACTGATATGATTTTTGATCATATATAAATGCAGCCTTGATGAGCGTAAGAGATTTCTTGAAAAACATTAAAAAAAATCTTAAACCCCAATTTGAATGACCAAAACCATTATAAACCACAGCATTTTAAAATCCAGTTGGGGGGGGGGAAAGCTAGTGGGCAGTTTGTGGACACAACACAGATACAGTACTGTATATGCATAATATAGATTCATGTTAACAAATGGGATGCTGATAAAATTATTTTACTATTTTTAAATTAACGAAAAAGTTGGAACTGACACATACGAGTTAAGGCTTCTGTTAAGTGGCTGACCATGAATAAAATAACATATGAGAGGAGTAATGGTATAAGTTGATTCTGTGTCCAAGCCAGAAAACACTGCAGCTGCAACACATCATCCACACCTGCTCTCTCTTCTTTTAACATCTGTCTGCATCTGTCTTCAGCAGTTTCCTCCACCCTCCCTCCTGTGCCTTACTTCATAAGTGATCAATTCATTGTCTTTTGACTTGCTTTGAACATCATAATTCCATTTAAAACTTTTCCATTCTTTTTTATTCATCCCTTTTGTGCATTCTAACACCGTTTATGAAGTACAGCAAAATGACTATATTGTATATACTTTTATTTAAGGCATTAAAGGAATTGTTTACCCCAAAATTTAACTTCTATCATCATTTACTCACTTTCATGTTGTTCCAAACCCAAATGAATACATAAGGAGAAATTTAGCCGAATGTTCATGCTGATCTTTCCATACAAAAGTCACCAGGGACTGGGAGGCTCCAAAAAGAATAACGCTGTTGAATATACTATGGTTTTGAATATGCTAAATAAGGCATATAAACCAATTTTATGATACATTTTCATAGCTCAACATTATCCATCCCTATGTAATTTCATGGTTTGAAAAAGAGCTGCATAAATATTCTCCTTTTGTATTCTGTGGATGCAAAAAAGGATGATAGAATTTTTATTTTGTGTGATCTAAGATGTGATGTTGTACTTCATATTCATGTGTTCATGCGTCCTCTCTCTTTCTGCATGCATCATCACTTCACTGTTGCGTGTGCTGCGTTGTGTGTTGCAGCCGTCCCCGTGCATGAAGTTAAACGCTTGGCATGGAACAGTTCAGAATATGCCTCATGTCCAGAGTTAGAGCGAACTCATTCTGGCCCCTGTGCCTCAGTCCATGGGGTCGGCGGTATCACAGCGAGTGTGTCCGCAGCTCAGTGTAAGTGTGTGGGGTAGACCAGGACACATACACACACAGGTTATCTACAGGAAATCACTTCTTCATACTAATAGAATTAGCTAGTGACATTATATCAGATGTCACAGTGGGCAGTTTGTATTGTGTTAGTCAAGGTTCTGACTGATTTTTAGCGGGTAGATTTTTAGTAGTTTAACGAATAACGTGTTAATCCAAATGCATATTATTTACACAATATGAAGGCCTATTTATGTTGAACTCAAGCATTTAAATTAAAAATATGCATTTGTACTGTCCCCATCACACAGTGTTAGAAAATGTGCACATTTTTATTCTCATTTTCTTAGATATTCACGGCTTGTCAGAATTATCGTAATTACAAGATTTTGACTTTGAATTTGAAACTCTGAAACACTTCAGTAATTCCAATCATTGACTAATGCCTTAATAATGCAAAATTAATTTGAAAATAAACAGAAGACATACAATAGATTTGACTGTTTCTAGAAAAGAGTTGGATAATAATGTCTAATGTCCTACTAAATAACTTTAAATGTTTATTAATAAGGCTTTTGGATAACGACTGTTACTTGTTTTATTATATTTTTGTCTATTAATTACTCCGATATTAAATGGATTCCTTTTGACAATAATAGTGTTGCCATAGAAATGTATAAATGCAGGAAGGTGAAAACCTCTGAGTAGAACTTCCAGTTTGTCATCAAGTATTTACAGTAACTACGACATGGCGTGAACGCACCAAAACTCGCCAACCAATAAGATACAAGCTTTTGGGTCATATGACCAGAACTGCCATTTCAGATCAAGGTGAAACTGATTTCTGAGTATTTTCAACACTTTTTATTTTTATTTAGGCATATGTCTTTTTTTTTACAGAATGATAAATTTGAGTTACGATTGAAGTTTTATGTTACTTTCACTCTTGGTGTCAGTAGGCCTTAAAGAGATATTCACCCAAAAATAAAAATTCTGTCATTAATTCCTCACCCTCATGTCGTTCCAAACCCGTAAGACTTTCGTTCATCTTCTTAACTCAAATGAAGATCTTTTTGATGAAATCTGAGAGCTTTCTGTGACTGTCCCTCCATTGGCAGCTATGGAATTACCACTTTGACGCTTCAAAAAGTTCATAGAGATCTTAAAACTAATCCATAATTGAGCTGTTTAGTCCACATTTTCTGAAGAGACTCGATCTCTTTATATGACGAACAGATTTAAAATAGGCTTTTATTCACAAATAAACATTGATCAGCCAACATGAACAGAAGCCCAACCGAACCTGCCTGACGCACGAGAACAAACCTCTTGCTGAATAAAGCTCAAACGTGCTGCTCTTGATGAACTTTTTGAAGCGTCAAAGTGGTAGTTGTGTGGCTGCCAAAATAGGGGCAGAAAGCTCGCGGATTTCATCAAGAAGATCTTCATTTGTGTTCCGAAGATGAACGAAAGTCATACGGGTTTGGAACGACATGAGAGTAATTAATGACCGAATTTTCATTTTTGGGTCGACAATCTCTTTAATATGACATTTTCGCAGGTATCTGCAGTGTGAGCAGTGCAGGTTGTGCTTATTAACTTTCCATTGTTGTTGTTTTTTTTATTTTTTCATCATTTCATTTCCTCTCCCTCCATCATCCCTCATCTTTCACCCGTTCTGTTCGAGCAGCTCGTAAGCAGGAGATTATAAAGATCACGGAGCAGTTGATCGAAGCTGTCAACAATGGAGACTTTGAAGCATACACGTAAGTACAGCCCACCTGCACCTGACTGCAACACGGGGATCTCTAGACTTTTGTAACAAAGATATTATGAAAATTGTAGGTCATTGTATGAATTTAAGGCTTTAAGTTGCATTTTATATTAAAAATGTACAAACAGGCCTATAAAATATCGGTCTGAAAGAGCTGAATTCCCAGGCTGATCAGTAGTCTGTGAACAGATGCTCCTGTTATTTTGAGAGAATATTGTATCTAGCCACAAAATGCTGGTAATATCCAGTTGTATCCGCACTCCAATTAAATTGCTTCACTGTAAACATTCTTATGTACCACAGGAGAATCTGTGACCCTGGTCTGACCTCTTTTGAGCCTGAAGCTTTGGGGAACCTGGTCGAGGGGATGGACTTCCACAAGTTTTACTTTGAGCACTGTGAGTCATGTCTAACTATGAGTATAGTTGCTTTTCTGTTGACCATAACTGAGATCCAATCAATGTGTTTGACTTCTACAGTGTTGAGTAAGAACAACAAGCCCGTGCACACCACTATTCTCAATCCTCACGTTCATCTCATCGGGGAGGACGCTGCCTGCATTGCTTATATCCGGCTGACGCAGTACATCGACAGCCAGGGCCGCCCGCGTAGCTGCCAATCGGAGGAGACGCGTGTGTGGCACCGCCGTGAAAGCAAGTGGCTTAACGTCCACTTCCACTGCTCAGGGGCACCAGCCGCCCCCTTACAGTGAACTGCACTGGACAGGTAACACCCCGTCCGCACTAAATAAATCCTCTAAAGGTGCAGTCACATTTATAATTCTGCAAATTTTCGTGGAAAAAATCAAGTAATTTCAATAGAAATCCACATGAATGGGAATTTCACATGATTTCATCATGCAGATTTTGCAACTGGTTCAGGTTGGCCTTGTGTAATTTCCGCAGAAGGCTGCTTGGTTTGAAAGTGCTTCTTACATCGCTACACTAACAATAGACAGTTTTTGTCATTTTGCCCCCTGAAATTTAGCTAATGTGAAAAACGTGCCTGATTAAAGTGATAGTTCACCCAAACAAATTTTTTTCCCCATAATTTATTCACCCTTATGTTGTTCCAAACCTTTATGAGTGTCTTTCTTTTGTTGAACACAAAATAAGATATTTTAAAGAATGTTGGTAATCAGACATTTGACTGCACCCATTGACTTCCATAGTATTTTTTCTACTATGGAAGTCAGTGGTTACCGTCAACTGTCTGGTTACCAACAAACTTTAAAATATCTGTTTTGTGTTCAACAAAAGAAAGAAACTCATAAAGGTTGGGAACACCTTGAGAGTGTTGAAATGAAAAAATATATAACTTAGGAAAGCAATCCCTTGAAGGAAGTAACATACTATGCATAAGACTGATGATGCACATTTCCATTCACAGAAAGTTTTGTTTATTTCTTTCAGTTTACCTGGATTCTCGAGATAATGGGAATGTTTCTTCTTTGTGGCTGGACGGGCATGTGAAGGCCAGCTGGATGACAGCTCTTAAAGTTACAGACACACCAGTGAGGAACTCTGACAACATCCAGTTCAACTGTCAACACCACCTATCCTGTCCAATCTTTGACCAATGGGAGCTGGCCGCGGCCGTGGCCCCGCCCAAGGGACGGTGCATGTATCTGACGCCCACATGGGGGTGCTGTTTTGTCCTTTTCCCACGGAACCATCTTTTTTTTTTCTTTTTTTTTGCCCGTTAAAGATGTTCAGAAGGTGTTGTAAGTACTGGTCTATGAATTCATAAATATACTGTACATTGTAAAAATCACTAGCTGAACCAGAAGCTACAATCAAGTTTGAAAAAGCATTTATGTAAGTAAACCAGGATGTGAGTTGGCAGGGTGGGGGGGGCTGAACTTCAAAAAAAAAAAAAAAAAAAAAAAATCACAAAATGGACTAGCGCCCAAAAGCTTCTAAAGTTTACAGGTTTGTCATCACAATCATTCTTGTATACTTTGCAGATTTTTGGAAACAAAATTATATGAAAAATTAAGGGAAGGTGTTGTCTAATCCAAGAGCAGAAGTTCTTCATATCAAAAAAGAACCAAAGTGTAGTTTTTAGTCTTTTTAAGGAGTGTTTCTGTTCGGTGTTGGCTTTTTATGTAATTTGGGTCTGAGAAGGTTTGTGCGACCCAGGTTTTAGTAATCTTTTGTGTTAATGTGGAACTCTTTCTTTTATTTGATTTTTTTTTTTTTTTTTTTTTTTTTGTCTTGGACTGACGTAACAAGTATTTTATGTTCAGCTAGAATTTTTAAGACTGTTTTATTTTTTAAGTTAATCTAAATAAACATGTAAAGATATACAGATATATTTAAAGGAGGTATGAACTCTCACCATCCAGGTTTAGGGAAGGATGTCGTTCCTGATCGCGCTCGGTATGTTTGTGTGGGTGTGTGTGCGATTGGAACTTGTATAAATTGAATCCTCCATTTAGATATTAATATGACGAAAGCCCAAGTGAACAGCACACAACTAAACGCTGACCAGTAGATTTGCCCTTCCTGTTTTGCTATATCATATTAGCGCCATAGACAAACCACTGCCTTTATACACACAGGCAGGATGTACTGTGATAGTCAGACATGAACTTCATTCCCATTTTCCAAACTCGTCAGGTTTGAGTTCAAAGGAGGACTAGTAATTTTTACAAACTGCATCATGATGAAAATAGCTTCGCCATCCCTTCTTCCACCACTCAGCTGCATTGTACACGTACTCAGTTGTTTTAGTAATGTTGGACGTGTCTAACTCACCCTGTCCTCAGTGTTGTCATGGACGTGGTTCATGTCGGTGATGAGGGTGTACGTGCTCTGTAAATACATGCCATTCAGTTCATCCCATCACAAGGAGCGGGTGAGGAAAACCGAAACAACGCGTCCAGTTGCCACAGTTAAGTTGTTTAAAATCACAGTTTTAATGTTTGTACAATTGAAATTCACAGCAGTTTGTTCGATTTCACCACAAATATTACGCAGGCTTTATGGCACCGACTATTTAAACTCCGTTTTAGTGTTACTGTTACTTAACTTAGAAGTGAGGGTTTGGTTTTTCGCAAGTGATTAATCTGTTGAGTCTGTAGTTGCACGGATGCTTTTCATCACTGCTACGGTTTTGTCTTTAGATAGATTTTAGTATAGTTTCGTTTGACGCAATATATTACGTGTGGGGGAAAAAAAACAACCAAAACCACGAGTTCACCCCGTCTCCTTGAAACACATCAGTCTTTTGTAACGGTCTGTAAATACATGTAGTGTTCGCACACCTCATTGTGTGCCGGGCTTTGTGACATATCAGGACTATACCTCCGCACGTGTGTGTGTGTGTGTGTGCGCGCGCGTTTATCACCTTAATGACAATGTCTTTTAAGTAAGTAGTGATGCTGTCAGATTGTATGTGATGCTGTTTTCACGTCCGCTTTGTGTCTCGCGCTTATTTCTTGCATTTTTTTATTGCTATTTTTTGTCATTTTTCCTTTGTTTGTGCTATGGGGAACTGCTGCCTTGCCTGGCCAAACTAGATCTACGCTTTTTATTCTTTTCATTTTTATTTAAACCCATCCAAGAGTTCCTTTTACTGTACATGGTCGACATCTTCAGCTCCATGAAAATGAAAGGGATTGAGATGAGGAGTCACTAGCTGGTAGATTTAGCGAAATAAATATCCAACCCCTGAAAGCTCAGTCTGAATCCCGGGCCAGACGGCAGATGTATGAGTCTTCTGGCCCACCCGTCCTATGACAGGAGAAATCAAACACGCAGGTTAAATAAACCAGAGAATATGCATGTGTACTTTTCTTGGTAAATCTTTTTTTTTTTTTTTTTTTTACTGTCTGTGTTTACTTAATAAAAAAGGGAAAAAATTCTCATAGTATTTGCATCTCGACATGAAAATCACTCCATTGGGAATTATAAGTGATGTACCATATTAAAAAATGAAAAAAAAAATTGTAGAAAATAGTGAAAAATATATAAAACAAAAGCCTCTGCTTGGTATGCTCCCCTCATTCTAAGTAAATCTATTGCATTGTAATGGTATACTATTGGGCTTCGTATATACTCGGAGTTTAAACATGGATGCTGGATTTTTGCATGATCATACATTTAATAAAACCATGAAATGACAACTATCAAGTGTTTGTCTGAATGTTAGTAGGTCTTTATCATAGCTTTGTTATTATTGAAACTTGATCTGGAAAGTATTTAATAAAAAGAGCATTTCTGCAGCTGATTCTGTGCTTTTTTTGTGCAATGGAAAAATCCACATGAAATCAACATTTACTGTATTTGCCTTGATACGCGTCATTGGTCTTATTTTGAAAGATTCATTCATGCACATCAATACAATGAAGAATGTGTCTAACTTCTCAGGCCTCATGGAACATAAAGGTGCATTTAGTAGTTTGGTGCTTATTTAAAAAAATATACAGATTAAGAAATAAATATTTTTTTGTGAACTGTCGTCTGAATAGTTTACACTCAAACGAGATGAAGACATAATGACTTATATAAAAAGTGTTTTAATGTAGCCTTTGTGGCCACGGTGTCCATACAAAGAAATAACAAAAAACAAGAGAGAACCAACGAAATATAAATAACTGATTATGTTGTTGTCAATGTATGAATTTTTCCTTGTTTTCTTTTTTTTTTTTTTTTTTTGCGTAGTAAAATTAAACCTGTAGCTGTAAGTTTGCCTTTTTGCTAAATAATTTTGCCAGATAAATACCTTAATGAAGTTTAGTGTTGTTCTTCCCTCGTACTTAAAATAATTCCTCAAATTTTTTATGGTTTAATCGAACTTGTAGGTCATTAAAAACAATTATCCCCTCCGAACACCACTTTTGGCCGCAACTGTCTATTCATTTGGCAGTGGAGAAAACTGGAAAATCTTCCTTTGCACACATTCCAATTCACACACACACATAAAATTAGCATAAAATTAATCGGGACTGAGATTAATTTTATTATTCGTCCAGTTTCTTTATGGAATGCAAGACGAAAATGATTTCAGAGAAGGCATTTTTTTTCTATTGTTGTAAATGAATCACTTAATGCTAACTGTCTGTAATGTAAATCGACACCACACATTTTGTCATTATAGTCAGTAAATGCAAAGTAAAAGTTCATGTAAAAAGTATTTTATTTGAATAGTATTATCGTGCTGTGACCACGTGGGCGAAACCTACCGTGTGCACTTACTAGATCAACTCATCTAGTCACCATAAAATCAAAATGGACTATTCTTATTTTTTATGGAATTGTTATAAATGATTAATCCGTGCAATTTTTTTATTCATGATGTGCCCTCGTAATCTTTCATCAAAAACCTTAACTGAGCAGCGTCATCTCTTCTCTGATGACGTGTCAACTGGCTCGAGTGCGGGACAAACGGTCACTCCAATGAGATCACAGCAATAGCAAACCGCAACGATCCAATCAATTCCCGATGGACAAAAGTCCCGCCCTACATTTTTCTTGTCCGAGAAACCGTACCTCACAATAGGGGAAAAGACTATAGATAGCAACTTTAACAAGCCTCACCAGAATGCAGCCTTATTGAGAAGCACCCACTGAATGCACCTTTAATCCAGTAGTGTTATGCTGGTTAATGAATGAAAAGCAATTATTTAGTTTTGAAAGAAGCATTTGCATCTCAAGTTGCCCATTCCTAGTAAAATATTCTGGTTGTTGACTTCATGAGGCAACAGTGCTTCATGAACCAACAACCGTATCATACATGTCCATGTTTAATATGCTGTGAATATAGTTTTTGTACGTGTCCAGCTGTAAAGATATGCTAGGAAAAGTAATACTTCAGTAAGCAGCATAAGCTGCATCAATAGCGTGGGCCTGCAGTCAGATGCATAGGCACTTTAGTTCACACCATTTATTTTCCTTCCTCTACCCTCCAGCACGCAGTGTGCTGTCTGTGGCGGCTCCCAGCGGACCTGAGCAAGTCTTATTTAAGGGCTTTGTTTCCTGCAGTCGAGCAGCTGGGCCCCCAATCTCTCAAATAGAGGGCGAGTCTCTTGTTTCTGGGCGGTGATTAATCAAACTTTTTCTATTCTTCCTCTCATCTGATAAAGCAGACTGCAGGAACAGAGATAAGATACTCACCTCTCATCTCCAGTTCAGCTTATTTTACTCTTTAAAGAGGAGGAAACCGAGATGCCCCGTCTCCATTCTGTGCCTTCATTTCCCAATATGTGTGTACTTAAACTGAACACCAAACATGGGATCACGTTACTGTGAATTCATTTTTTTATGTACCCAACTGTTGCTACACATACACAAAATTCACATTCACTCATTGGCAAAAGTCTGCAGCATACTGTACTTCTCTTCTTAGCTCCTTGGGCTGCACAATGTTTGTTGACCTCAAACAGAAATCACTTAACGGTAACTGTTTTTTTGTTTTTTTTAAAGGCAGCAAGATGGCTGAAATTTATGATGCACATTTAAATACTTCTCTGCTTGGCAGAGTTAAAGACTTTTGAGAATAACATTTAAATAATCCTCTCATAGTCCCTCCCTTTCATGGGTATTTCCACAAAATGTTCCCAATCTTCTAGAGGTTCTGTGCAATTCCCTCTCTTCCTAGAAGACTACGGTATATTTGCATTTCAAAACAGCATGTTCACAATGGATTTTAAAACGCTCTAGAAGTCTTTTTAAAGCCGTCCAATCAGGTCACTTCCATTTCCATATCTGTGAATCCATAAAGGTCTACTACAAGTTCCCATAACGAGGTTGAGGGCAACTCTGACTCTGAGGGCTTCATTCAGACTGACAGCGTGATCGGGCCGTCTCCTCGGTCAGAGCCTGTGCGGAGTAAGGAGGGCGAGAGGGGTCAGTCCTCTTTTGGCTCCTGCCGCACACGGGCCCTGAGTTCTCCTATGTGGAGCAGGGTTCTGCTGTGGTTCTCCTCATGAAGGTTCTTATCAGCTCCAGCTGGCGTTGTGCAGTTCGTCTCTGAGCCA